CACTCTGCTGTCCTTCAGCTTGCTGTGCATGGGTCTCCACGTGTCCCTCTGCTGTCAGCCTGTCCTCTCTTCCCCAGGATTGCTTCCTCTCTGCTTCACCCTGGCTAATGATTCTAAATCTTAAACTTGTCCTTACACTATTCCGTCCTATTTCTCCTCACTTTTCTTTTTATCTCAAGAGTATGTTTGCACACTGATTTTTGTTGTTATGTTAATCATCACTCTATATTGGGTATATCCCACTTATTGGGGAGGATTGGAGATTGGCCGTTTGTGATGAAAAGTAAGAAACTGGGTTACAGTGAATTTACAAGAAATTTCCATTAGACTTAAGGAGTCATTTTAAAAAATCTTTTCTCTTTTGAAATAGCTACACAATACTTCCTCAAAATGGATTGTCTAGAGAATTAATATATTCAATATGTCATACAGGTCTAATAGCCACAGAATCGTTTTCTTGATTAGAAGAAAGGCAGGAAGGGTGAAAATCTGCAAAAGCTTGTCTTAATTAAGATATATCCCCTGCTGTTAGAAAATCATGTTCAGGCATTATCACATCATTAGTCAGCTCATCACAATATTACTTTGCAATAATCTTCTGTTTCTTCTCAGTGGCTCAATGAAGTCGTTCTCAGGTCTGTGACAGGACTGAGCTGGAATATTAGGATAACGGTGCTGTTTCTTCAGGAATAGTTTGGCCCTGCAGAGAAAGTTGAAAATTGGGTTTGGCATTGTATTCGCAAGACAGTATTTTACAATTTTATTTCTTCAGAGGAAGTATCACATTATGTGGTGGAAAGCTGGGTACTGATAAGGTAATTGGTAGGCAACAATCTAGGAGAATGAAGTGGAACTAGTGTAAGAATTATACATAATGTTTCAGTTAGTAAAGCATTTCTGAGGGCCATTTTTTAGAACTAATCTTTCTTTTAAAAAAAATTGTACCTTGATGAGACTGTATTAGGTATTCAGATTTAGGGATTTATGAATATGGTATGTGAGATATGCATTTTTAAGGATGACATAATCTCAAGGTATGATGCATATTTTCTACCTGTGCATCACATGAAGTGTGTTTTAGAGAGAGCACTGACACTGTATCTCTTTCATGGACTTTCCTGCTTGCCTCCCTTCCGTTCAGAATGCTAAGGAGAACGGAGATTCAAGAGCAAGAATGTTAGCTATAGCTTTCTTCATAATTTGGATTGTTTCACTGCATGATCTTTTTTGCGTTGTATTTTCTATATCTATGTGTGTGTATTTTTCGTTAATGTCAGTATACTGACAAGTTGTATTACAGAGGTACAATCAAATATGCTTTGAGATTTTGCACAAGCTTATTCTGGACAAAACCATGTTAAATTATAGGCTTATGTACATGAAGAATTCTCAGTTCTGTGTTTCTTTTTTTTTTTTTAAAGATTTATTTTTATTATTTTTTATTGGAAAGGCGGATATACAGAGAGGAGATACAGAGAGGAAGATCTTCCATCCGATGATTCACTCCCCAAGTGAGCCGCAACGGGTCGATACTATGCCGATCCGAAGCCAGGAGCCTCTTCCGGGTCTCCCACGCGGGTGCAGGGTCCCAAAGCTTTGGGCCGTCCTCAACTGCTTTCCCAGGCCACAGGCAGGGAGCTGGAAGGGAAGCGGGGCTGCCGGGATTAGAACCGGCGCCCATATGGGATCCCGGGCGTGCTAGGCGAGGACTTAACCACTTGCGCCACCGCGCCGGGCCCAGTTCTGTGTTTCTTAATACACGTTTCAGAGTCATTTATATATTTTAATTTGTGCTTTCAACCTCCAAGGAATATCATGGTCAACAAAGATCTCCAGCTGGAAAATAGCTTTACCTGATATGTAAGACTCGTTTTTGTTCTTGGACTTCGCCATGAACTCTCTTGGGCGAGGGCTCAATGATAGGGAAAAATAGAAAACTATAAACACTGTAAGACTCTCCTTTTATGGATCTAGATAAACATAAATTTGTGGCATATCGACTGAAAGGCAAGGGTTATAGAGCATAAAAATTTTCTAGTGATTGAAATACTAAGGTCATTGAAATAAAAATGACAGTGTTATCAGTCAATAGCATGATTTAATTAAAAACACGTACCTAGAGAGTGGCATGATCAAAGGAGAAAAATAATGCACTTTCTAGGAGTTCTGGATGTCAGAGTGAAACTATTTATATTTTAGAACTGATTTTTTTTAAAAGATATGTTTGTTTGAAAAGCATATTTACATAGAGAGAGAAAATCAGATCTTCCATCTACTAGTCTAAACTCCAAATGTCCGCAACAGCTGGGCAGGGCCAGGCTGGGGCCAGGAACCAAAACCTCCGCCCTGGTCTCCCACGTGGGTGTGGCAGCCCAAGAGCTTGGTCCATCCTCCACTGGTTTCCCACTGTCATTAGCAGGGGTGCTAAATGAGAAGTGGAACAGCCAGGATTTCAATATGATGCTGGCATTACAGGCAACAACTTAACCTGATATGCCACAACAATGGCGACATCTTTTGCAACATTTGTTTTCTTCCTGTGTGTGTTATAAAAACATAGAGTGTTAAAAACAAAACCCAGAACAGAAACTTGTTAAATATCTCTGATTCAATACATGTGCATGAATGTAAATGTTAAATATCCATCCTGCTTCTCAGTAATACTTGTGACTGCTGTACTCAGAGATGATTTGCAACCTAATGAATCAGGAGTAGGCATCTAGCCTGGTAAGGTGGTTAGGGCACCTTCTCGCACTTCAGCATGCCTGGATTTGATTCCTGGCTCTGGATCCTCATTCCAGCTTCCTGCCAATGCACACTCCGTGAGACAGCAGTGATGGCTCAAGTACTTATTTGGCTTTCTGCTGCCCATTAAGGAGTCTTGAATTTCTGGCTCCTGTCTCCAGTTCCAGCTGACCCCATTCATTGTGGGCATCCAGGGAGTTAACCAATGAATGGGGATGTATGTCTGCTCATATGTTTCTTTGTCTGTTTCTCAAATAAATAAAAATGTAAAACAATCTACTCGATGTCCAGGAAAAGGCAGTAGCCATAAAGTATAGATTTGTAGAATTTTGTGGAAATTGCAAATATTCAGTTAGTGATAATTGTACTGCAGCTTGGGAATTTTAACTTTACATTCTATCTCAGCCTGATTGTGTGACTTTGTCAAGAATAAAGTACAGGTCTCCTTAATTTTCATAGTTAATGTGTCCAGTTGGTTTCTTCAAAGAATCATTGTAATTAACTTTGACAGGTAGATTTTTCTCTTTGGAAAAAAATAGAGGTTAGGAATGTTTTCAACCAGTATCTAGTGCCTTAAAATATAGTATATAATATTATGTATCTTAGAGGCACAGTATCCAGGCAGATATACACAACATTTAAGAAGGAGAGCCTTACAGACAAATATCCATAAGTATGAAAGTAGCACGATAATTTCTGTGAAAATATAACCTCAGGGTTTACTCAAAGTAGAGAGTAGGGCCACCTATTCAAGATGTGACAAAGGAACATGGAAAAAAGATGATACAGATCTCAAGGAAGTTTTCCCAAAGAGATGAGCACAAAGATCTAGATTTGAAAATATGGGAACAGTTTTTAAATGATGCATTCCTCCATGCATGGTAGTTAGTGGTACAGTATAACTATTTCTAAGATAGCATGAGAGAATGGGTTCGGTGTGGTAGCCTAGTGGCTAAAGTCCTCTCCTTGAATGCACCAGGATCCCATATGGGTGCAGAGTCTAATCCTGGTGGCCCTGCTTCCCATACAGCTCCCTGCTTGTGGCCTGGGAAAGCAATTGAGGATGGCTCAAAGCCTTGGGTCCCTGCAGCCACGCAGAAGACCTCAAGGAGACTCCTGGCTCCTGGCTTCAGATCAGCTCAGCTCTGACCGTTGCAGCCACTTGAGGACTGAACCAGGAGACAGATTTTCCTCTCTGTCTCTCCTCCTCTATATATATCTGACTTTGCAATAAAAATAGATATATTTAAAAAAAAAGATAGCTTTAGAGATGTTTCCTCTGTTCATAGCATTTTTTGTCTTTCCTTTCTCTCCTCCTTCCTTTCTCTCTGCCTGTTTCCCTTCTGTCTCTCCTTCATCGTGACATCCTTATGTGCTGAGTTTTTTAGCCCAAAGCTTGGCTCACACTTTACCTTTGTTACTGTATTCTACCATATTCGTCCATCTATTCCAAACCATGCATTTCTTACTTATGTAACTCAATGGTGTTTTCTAGATAATATTCTTTTTGGATGTTTGTTACTTTCAACATTATATTAGCATGGTGCATAGTGTTTTTGTTTGTAACAAATTATGCTGTTTCACTTCAAATAACATTCCATTATATTAACACAGCACAGATTTTCCATTTTCATGTTAATGGGCGTATTAGTTGTGTCCGTCTTGCTGTTTTCAGTAATGTTGCTGTAAACCTTCTCTTATTTGCCATACATACGTGTTAACAGTTCCTGCCGGATCTGTGTCTGGGAATGGAATCATTAGACCATAGTAAGTGCAAAGATGAAACTGTTAATAACAAATTATTTTCCAAAACTTTTGTGCTGATATTTACTCTTAGGAGAATGCATAAGGCCTCTTTTGTTTCATGTACTTTTCATACTTGGGCTTACGAGTATAATTTCTATTAAATGAATGCCATGTAATGTGAGTGCTATGTAATGATGTGTGGCTCTGATTCATATTGCCTGAGTAATTAGTGAGATCATGTGTCTTTGATGGTTTGTGTTGGTTATATGTCTTTTCTCTAACCTCTCATTTATAAGATTTCATTAATTTATACTAATGAATGCTTGCTGTTTTTGCATTTGCAGGAACTACACTGTTTTAACTGTATCACATGTGTGCAATTGTTAAGGAGAAACTCTTTTGTGTTTTAATAATGTATGAAATTGGGAATAAAGTGTGAAACCCTTGTGTTTTAAATTGATTTTCATGTTTTATGTTTTCACATCTTGCTGATTATTATTTTTTGACAGAACGATTCCGAGATTTACTGCTGCCTCCATCGAGTCATGACTCTGAGATTCTGCCCTTCATTCAATCCAGAAACTATCCAAAGTAAGCAAGAGAATTTTACTAAGTACTGAGAAGGGCAAAAGTCATAGCTCTGGGGGAGACATGAATGGGCAACGGAAAAAACAGATTGTTTCTTAGAACTTCTGAAAACCCTGAATGATCTAACTTAAACAACAAGGGCTGCTCCTCCCCTATCCTGTACCGGGCACCTCTCGGCTGGATCACGTAGACCTGCTTTCCAGTGCCACCACCTGTGCCTGAGGAATTGTGACAAACTGCAACAAAACACTTTCTGCTTCATTATCTCAGCCTGTTTCTTTTGGTTTGGTGCTGTAGATTGCTATGGTGTGGGTGATGCCCCAACCGCTTTCTTATTTTCAGTCTCTTCAATGATTATTTCACATTATGACGAGTAGCTGTCAGCGTAATTATATGCTAGAAAACAAATTGTCATTTCTGTATACCTCTTTACCCTATGAATAGCTGGGGGGACCTAATGTCTCTTGTGAGGAAAGCTTTTTCTTTTCTCAGATATCGGAAGTGCCTTTGTTGGTTGTTGAAGCGCCTTTATTCTGTTGCATGAGGAAGTACTTGCTACACACACTCTTCCTTAAAGACTAATAGAGGCTCAAACCTTGATCCGCTGGAATTTTGGAGCGTCTTCAAAAGCATCTGATTATGTTTAACAATTTCTATGTGACAAGAGTAAAAAAACTAATACAACAATTAAATACAGTAAAATGTTAAATATTAAATTGCATGTAGAATTAACCAGATTTGCATATTTCTGCATACATTAGGGAAACTGCTCACTAATCTTGAAGGACCATTATGTCCCTGGTAACTATCAGCTTTCCCTTAGTGCTGTCAATGAAAGTTAATTTATAAAATATTTCTAATTTTTTGCTAGATGCTAAAATGTGGGGCCATGTTTTAGAACCACCTAACATTTTTTTTAAGATTTATTTTATTTTTATTGAAAAGTCAGATACACATAGAGGAGTAGAGACAGAGAGGAAGATCTTCCGTCTACTGATTCACTACCTAAATGGCCACAATGGCAAGATTTGAGCCAGTCCAAAGCCAGGAGCCTGGAGCCTCTTCTGGGTCTCCCAGGGCTTTGGGCCATCCTCAATTGCTTTCCCAAGCTACAAGTGGAGAGCTGGATGAAAAGCAGGGCCGCCGAGATTAGAACTGGCACCCAAATGGGATTCCAGATGGTGCAACGCAAGCACTTTAGCCACTAGGCTACTGTGCTGGGCCCATTGAACCACCTAAATGTTTTCTAAACATTTGAATGAAAATGTGACAATATTAAATTTCTAAATCTGAATGATACTGCTTTATGTAATTCTGGAATAAATTCAGTAAATTTAAATTACATAGTACTGGCAATTTCTATTCCTCTATTTTTGAAAAAGATTTTATTTGGAAAGTGAAATTACAGAGAGAAAGGAGGAGAGAAAGAGATATCTTCCATCTACTAATTCACTCCCCAAATGCCCATACCAGCCAGGGTTCGGCCAGGCTAAAGCCATGAGCTAGGAACTTGTTCCGTGTTTTACATAGGAACAGAGGTCTAAGGACCTGCATCATTTCTGCTGCTTTTCCAACTATATTTTTCAGGGACCTAGATTGAAAGTAGAGCAGCCTAGACTCAAACCAGCACCCATATTAAAAGGCGCTTATTTGCCTGAGAGGTAGAGTTACAGAGAGAAAGAGACAAAGAGAGACTTGCAGAGAGAGGAAGAGGCCTCCCATTTGCTGGTTCACTCCCAGATGACTGCAGATTGTCCTGGACCTCCAACGTGGATGGTGGGCTCTTAAGCACTTGGACCAACTTTCACGACCTTCCCAGACTATCAGCAAGGAGCTGGATTTGGAAGTTGAACAGCAAGGAATAGAATAGGCACTTATGTAGAAAATGGAAAACTTATAGAATTAGAATTTGTTTCTTTCATTCAGATACAAAGTATTTATAGAGGTACAATTCCCATTTTTCCTGAATGTTTTATTGTCTTATTAGATATAGGATCTATTAGAAATAGATTTTAATGTTGTTACAGGATGATATTTACAGAATGTGATATAGCCAATAGAAACACATTGCATTGACCAGTATAGGCTATTGTATTTTAGACATTTCTAAATTCTCAGTATAATTTCCCTATCATCTTTAGCATTACATTTTCATAAGATCTTTAGTAAATAATGACATATATAAAGTGTATGCTTCATATATTACTTATTATTTATAGTGCTAATGAAAAACATTCATGAAAGCAACTGCTAGCTCCAGAAATGTAGATGTATGTGGTTAAGGAAAAACCATTTATCCAAACATTACCTATAGCAGGACTGGGAACATTGTTCCAAATTATTATTACGTTTATTTATCACGTTTTTACACTTTGAACTCTGTTCTGACACATGTCAAAGCCACAGACATCCATCCTCATCAGGATGTAATTGTAGATATTGCTGCCTGAAAATTCAGGACACGCATGGATGTGACAGTCATCAGAAGGAGATATATGAGTGGAACAAGAGAATCAGCACTTAGCACAAAATACGTCTTGCCGGTTTATAAGTTGGAAAAAGGAAATGGAAATAAAGCAGCCAGTTTTGCTACTCATCCCTTAGTGATGTTATTATTGTTCATTAACTCTGAAGGATTCAGGTTTATAATACTTTTTGTCTAAAGCATTGTTATATTTTTATCCTTGTCAATTTAGCATGGATATAAATGTGAAAGACATCTGGCATAATTTTTTTTAGAAATGCCTTGTATCTGTTATGTTTGTTGTAGCAATAATACATGACCTAATAACTCCCAAAGGTTTACTATAATGTGGTATATACAGATTTTGTGAAAGTACAAAAGAATATTTCTACTTCTTTTTCCTAAAATAAACAAATTCTGTGAGTTGATATTAGTATCCGAATTGTTTATAAAGGGAAGTTTTATTCATGACATGATACAAAGCTATTTCCCTTTGGCTTAGTGTACCACTAGAGAACAACCTTGAGTTTTTGGGCAGTAAAACTAATGTCTCAACCTGTTTTAATTTCTTACTGGCTGCTAAAAAAATGGATTCAAACAAAAATATTGGCTAATATCCCAAATGGCAAAGTTACAGATAACCTTTCCAGATTTCATACCTTCTCCAACTTATCTTTCTCTTACCTGGCACAGTTTTAAATACCACTTCAAGGGACACTTTTTACTACCTAGTCTCATTTTCAACCTGTGTGTTTTATGCACTTGTCATCCAAACAAGATCACTCTTATTCACAATAATAAAGAAATAATAACACATGAGAAATACTTTCTACATGCCTAGAATTATGCTGTGAATTTCCCCTGCATTATGTTATGTAATCCCTACCATTCCCATTTCAATTCATACCAATTTTTAAGTTGTGTAGATTAGAGAGCTATCAAAAAACAGGAACAGAGCTGGGTGTTGAAAAATTAGATTATATCCATTTCAGCTATACTGTCTCATTCACTCACTCATCCGTGCATCTACTCCTTTTTTCACTGAATATACATTACATGCTTACCATGCAAGAGAGACAGTTACAATTACTGAGAATACAAAAGTGATTCAACATAGTGTCTGGCTTTAAGAGAATGAGAATTTAGTGTGGGTGGGGGGAGGCAGAATCAAAGCTCAGTAGAGAAATTATAGCAATGAGATAAAATCTGTATGTAAAGAAGTATACTAAATTCTGTAGCAAAAGATGAGAAGGGAGGGATGGGGAGGATAAAGCTGCCGTATGTAATTCATATACAACTTTATCTTCACCTTGAATAAAACTGACAAGCAAAGTGGACCAGATGAAGAGGTTTTTTTGTTTGTTTGTTTGTTTAGGTAGCAGGAAGAGTATAAATCCCATGGAAGATAGTGGGTTTCTTGAAAGATCACTTCAAAGTGTCTAAAAACTGTGTGTTTGCAAAGATGTACACACATGTACTTACTTGCTCTGGGTGTCAGCCGACACACAATGTGGGGAGAGGTGTAAGGAGAAGTGAGGGAGGGCTTGACCTACTACATAAGAGAAGTTGAACTTCAGCATGAAGACAGGGGTCATGAGAAGATTTGAAAGAGAATGATACTAAGGATAACAGTTTTCCAGGTTTATCATAGGTTTATCCCCAGCGGGGAACATGAGGCAGCAGGGGAGGCTCGCCCACTGGCTAGTGCTAAGGATGTGATAAGGAACCACTATCATGGTGATAATAATAGGAAAGATTGGATGTTTGTCTGACATTACGAGGGACAGTCAGTAGAGGGTGATGAGTTTTGGACTAGAGGGAATGGAGACAGTACAGAGAAGGAAGGAGACCGTGACGACTTAAAGCTTTTTTTATTTTCCTCATATTCTGGCTTACAAATCTGTTAGTGGGGAAAAGGTACTAATCTCTCTTGTTTAAATACATTTCAAAGGGAAAGAATGGAAATACTTTATAAAGCCTACTATTTGGCATGCTTTGATCTTGTAAGATTATGTTATATTTAAATAACATCAAGCACGTGACCTTCTGCTCCTTATCCTCATTGTGAGCTCTGTTCTACCATGTCTCAAAGCTGTGTTTTATGTCAGGACAGGGGAAAGGCTGTCCCATCCGGATTGCTTTACTGTCCTCATTCCCGTTTAGATCCTGCCAGAGGTACAGGTAGCTTTTCTTAAGTAAGATAGCATTGAGCTACAGGATCTCAAGGTTAAGGTGACTTTCTGTAGTGGGCCTGCCTTCTGTGCTGAGGGCTAATGTAGTTCCATTTTCAAACTCAGATACTCATAACATAATTCACAGTACACATAATATTTTAATATAGTTTTTTTGATAAAGACTTTACTATTACTTTCTCATTCCTACATGTAGACTCACAACAGGTGAAATTTCAATACCTGGCTAGCAAGATATCTTAAAGATTTATTTTTATTATTATTTTGTTTATTATTGGAAAGGCGAATATACAGAGAGGAGAGACAGAGAGGAAGAACTTCCGTCCGATGATTCACTCCCCAAGTGA